ACTGTCTGTCACAGCGCACATAGGCTACTCGGGGGGGACCGGCAGCTGGTGAGAAGGTTGGGGGCAGGTGGGGACTTGGTGCGTACATGCGTGGCGTTGACCGTTGCTGTACCAGTTCAGCCCCTATGGTTGTTGTCTCTCCCTGTCGTACACGTACACGTACACGTACCTGTGTGTCAGTTGCCGGTTCCAACCGTCCCAACCGCCCCGACCAGGTACATTTCCACCACTGGAACCGCACCGGGTACTTCATACAGCTGGGAGACCGGCACTACGCCAAGCACCTGCTCACGTCCAAGTACTGCTTCGGGCCCACGGGAGGGGGACACGGTGGGAGAGAGAGCGGGGGAGGAAGGGGGGGAGGAAAAGGGGGGAGGAAAGGGGGGAGGAAGGGGGGAGGAAGCGGGGGAAAAAGGGGGGAAAAGGGGGGAAAAGGGGGGAGGGTGTGTGCGGGTACCTGGGCATAGTGAGGGTTCGCCTGGACGGGGCAGTGTGCACTGTCGTACACCTGAAAGGTGCCGTCCATCCTTCCCGCACCTCCTCCCTCCATCTTCAAGTGGAGGTATTCATCCCCCGGGGGGGGGGATGTAATGTTTGAGTCTCTCCATGACCGACGGGCACCCCGGGCCGGTCCCGGAGCCGTCGTACCAGCTATGCCGGTCCTGACCGTTCCTCGCTCCTCCCCTAACTCTCCGTGCCAGTCACCGTAATTTCCCCTTCAACGTTCGCATCACACAACAACTTTCCCGCACCTCGCCACTCCGGGCCGTCGTGCACGCGCCACCTAATTCCCCACCCTGCTCCTGGCGATCTTCATTCCAACCGCTAACGGACGACGCCAACCGCCGTTACCCGCCAAATTTAAACCAACCAGGTCAGCGCCAGGTAAGCGCGAGTTTGTGGTCGTCATTGATTTACAGTTGAGACGGGGGACCGGGGCGTGAGGAGGCACTCTTCCTCCCATTCCCATCGCTCGTCGCTATGATGCCGTTGTCGAGTCAATGATCGGAGTCAGATGTCAAAGAGCGCAACGGCGCGAAGGACCCCACGTAACCCCCCAACCATAAGCTTCTACGGCTATGTTCGCTCTTAAGGGCCAACACCACCTCCCTACCACGGAATGTTTCCGTATGTCCCCATCCTCCCACCTGGGTGAGCGTGTACGTGATGCGTATGTTTCCGCCCCTTTCCCTCCCTCCCTCCCCTCCCCTCCCTCGTGTACGGCACCGCAGATGCAGGCTGTCCAGGCGGGCTGTGTTCCCGTGGTTATCTCGGACGACGTGTTGGAGGCGTTTGAGCCCTTCCTGGACTGGAACACATTCGGTGTGAGGCTGGCGGAGGCAGATATACCCCGGATGCATGAAGTGCTGGAGGCAATCAGCCCGGAGGTGGGCTGGAGGGGGACGGGGAGGGGAGGGGAGGGGAGAGGTTGGGGGTGGGGATGGAGTTGTTGCTGCCTGCTGCCTGCTGCCTGCTACAGGTATGGAGTGGTGTGATGTTGTCCTCCTGCTTGATGCCCTGCAGGAGTATGCTCATAAGGAGGTGCTGCTCCGCTGCGCCGCCCAGCACATGGCGTTCAGCACTGTGACGGGGTCGTACATTGGGGAGTCGGGTCGGTACGACGCGTTCGAGACGCTTCTTGAGATCCTCCGCGCCAAGGCCGCCCACCCGGACACCCCCCCCGAGCAGCTGCGGCAAGTGGACCCCCAGCTGGATGCCTTCTTGGACTGCAGGGACCCGAACGACCCGGATATGGCACCAGCACCAGCAACAGATGGAGGAGCAGCAGCTGGAGGAGCAGAAGCGGGAGGAGGAGGAGGAGGAGGAGAGGTCGACGGCACGACCCGTGGCGACGGTGGCAGCGATGGTGGCAGCGAACAGCGGCTACAGGAGTCATCTTCCAGCGCCGACAGCGACAGAGGCAGCAGCCGCAGCCGCCTCTCAGTCGTCCCCACCAGCTCAATGATCAGCAACATGCGGCTATGCAGTGTATCCCCCTTTGACGCTGGAGATTCGGACACGCCCAGTTGCAAGTCCCTCAGGACCCAGCGTCGAGGGGCCCTGTACGGTGGCCAAATGTGCTGCCGCCAGCCGACTGAGCTGGCAGCGTGCCCGCGGCCCTGGCCATAGGGCCCGGCCCGGGACTGGGCGCAGCCCTGTTCAGCCCAACAAAACACATCATCCTTTAGTCTGGCGGGGCGTGTGTGTATTGATGGAGAGGAATCTGTTCTGTCTGTCGTCAGCTTCGGACCAGCCTGCTGGGGGGAGGTTGCCGTGCCGCTTCGTGGCAGCGGCCTGGAACCTTGGTAAATCAGTTCTTGGTAGTAGGCTCAGCCGGCATTTGACTCGCGCTCACTCGTGCCACCTGCACACGGCGCGAGTCGCGGCGATGTTTCCGTTTATGTTCAGTCATTGTGAGCTGACTCCTACTCGAGCAGCAGGGACAGCAAGGACAGTCCCCGGGGATTGGACCCCCCCGAGGAAATACACACGCACGTCTGTGTCTGTATGTCAGTAAGTCTGTGTCAATATGTAAGTATGTATGCATGTACGCATGTATGCATGTACGCATGTATGCATGTACGCATGTATGCATGTACGCATGTATGCATGGATGTATCTGTGTCATCGGCAAATTGAGTCCATGAGAAGCCGTAATGTTTGTCCACTGCACGGTTCTGAGCGATCGAAGGGTGCGGGCGGTAGTTTGTGTGTGTGTTTGTGTCTGTGTGTGTGCGTGTGTGTCTGTGTGTGTGTGTGTCTGTGTGTATGTGTCTGTCTGTCTGTCTGTCTGTCTGTCTGTCTGTCTGTCTGTCTGTCTGTCTGTCTGTCTGTCTGTGTGTGTGTAATGAAGTTTAGCTGTTATGCTGTCGGGCATGTCGCCGACGCGAGCACTAGATGCAATTCGATTACACACGTACACAATCAGCCACTTTAGGCCACGTGTCAGGCACGTGTGGGTGTGTTTTAGTAATCTGATCCGCGATGAAAAATTTGCAGTATATAATACACAAATTGCTCTACCGAAG